ATGTCAACACGAGGTCCAGAGTAGAAAAACAAGAATGGGTTTGGGTCATATGGTTGGAATGTCTTTGTTCTCTTGAGCCCGTTTTGCACTGCACACCCAGAACCTGGCCAACCTGAGTCCGGGTTGGCCAGCCCAGTCCCGCCCCGCTCACTGGAGCCCAGAGAGCTGTGGCTCTAATTGGGCCGGTCAGACAGGGCTGTTTGGAGTCAGTTGTTAATAGGTGCATTGGCTGCGGGGCGAACGTAGACAAGATGTCTCCCAGATCTTCGGGTTAGAGGAGTTTATTTAGTGTTTAGGCTTTCTCGATGTCTGTTGTTTTAAACATGTGGCATCAAAAAAATTCCCTGTCATAATATATTCTTACCCGTTAAGTTTTTAATTGATAATAATGACATATTTAATTGCAGATATTTTGTTTTGTTCAAAAATAATATTCTACAAGTGAAACCCATCACATATCAAGCAGATAAATATGTGCAACTTTTTCCCACAGTGAAAAAGAAATTTTAAAAACATACACTGACTGTGGTCCCACTACCTGCATATGACTAATAAAATTAAACTAGAAAATTTCTGAAGAATTTTAAACAGTCTGCCAAACCATGACCGTCGGTTGGAACCCAGCATTCTGATGCTAAAAATTAGCATCGATACTAAAGTAAACTACAATGTACTCAATAGCATGTGGAGAGTCACAAGCATGTTGAGTAACATGGACTTACTCCATTAAGTATGTTAAAATTAGTGTATAACCAAAATTAGCTAAAATGCTAATGTTAGCCTAAAAGCTCCAAGTGGTGTGTGGGGTATAGCTAGCATGTTGTCTTACATTGACTTCCTCTATTCAGTGTGCTAAACATAGTTAATAAATAAACAAAATAGCTCAAAAGCTTATTTTAGGGAAAAGGTTACTGCTAATGTGTGCAGTAACTACATTAGCAGGATGATTCTCTGAATTCGGTGCCTTTTGGGGTCTCAGGTTACTTAAAAATATACCACAGAAAATTGTGTTTTTGAACACTGCATCTATTGAAGGACTCTTTGAACCTCCAAGAAAATATCTCTCCCCACCTTATGCATGAAATCCCAAACATTAATATGAATTTCTTTGCTGCTTCAGTTGTTTTAAATTCAACCCCGTAACGGGATAATTTCATTCCTCTATCAGTATAACTGCATAACATAATTAAACTAATTCTTCCAGTTCCTTTGAGATCACCTGTCCCTTGATTACAATAACTAGTTGTAAATATATTTTATTTGATTCTGAATCATAATAATTAGACTGATAAGTAGAATATGGCAACTTGATGTAAAAGCGCTTCTCATAATTCATGACAATACACTTAAAAATTAAATCAGCTTTTTTATGTTTTTGAAT